ATGTGTTTTTTAAACCTTGTATATCATTTATAGCATAATTTATTATAAATAATTATTGTATAATAATACATTATTATTAACTAATTATTAATTATAATTGTTATTAAAATAATTATAATTTGTTAATTGTAAATATTATTGTTATAATGGTTTATAATTTATAATGTTATATATATATATATATTTGTATGTGTGTGTGTTTAATATGAATAATATTATATTGTTAACTTATAGTAAATATGTAATATGTTACACATACATATGTGTATTTGTAACATATTATATTAACAAACTATATTTTAATATAATAATATTATTATCATATATGACACTTATTAATTAAGATTAGATATTAATTAGGTTAATTAGGAATGGTTAAGCAGAAATGTAAGAGAATCATTTAAGATAGAGCAAGTCTCGCGAAAAGACGCGGGACTCGACCCTTGACTCAGGCGAAACGCGTGAACCGTACGCGCATTCAGATTGCGTCGAGAGAAAGAATCGCGAACGCTGATTTTTGTCCTCTCTTTAAAATTCTCCTACTTTGCCGTTTTTGGAAAAGGCACGGATTATAAAATGTGTTTCACTGGCCCAAAACGTCAGTTCTCCTTAGAGCTCACTTGGGGTTGGCTTTCCTTCCCTTGCCTAGCCTTACCGACCGCTAACACTATTCAATACTTAGAAAAATTCTGAGTTGTTGGACTTAGAAAAATTCTGAGTCATTGAACTTAGAAATTTTTCAGAATCTCCGACTTAGAGTATTTCTTTGATATTGATACTTAGAAATTTTCGCCCTTGTGGGACTTAAACGTTTTTGACACACTGTACTTTAAAAATAGACGATCACTTCTACTTTGACTCGTTTCAATCAACGCTACTCCCCCCACCGACTGTAACGTTTTACACTTTCAGATACACACTAACGCGAAATACTCTACGTATCTAGTTGGTTTTCCTCTCGATATAAGAGTTTTCAGACCCATTGTTGAGCTGGTTTCCTCTCAATAATCCACACATCGAGCTGGTTTTCCTCTCGAATATACACTCTTAGCCGCTATTATTAAGCTGGTTTTCCTCTCAATAATTCGCCGCAACACTACATGTCGAGTTGGTTTTCCTCTCGATGTAAGAGTACCTTAACACTTTGTTGAGTTGGTTTTCCTCTCAACAAATTCAACTTTGAGCTGGTTTTCCTCTCGGGCAAACCATTTTAGCCAAAAATATTGAGGTGGTTGACCTTTCAATATTTCTACGCGACCGCCCTATATCGAGTTCTTTCCTCTCGATATTAGAGTACAAACTACTTTCTCCTTTTTAAAATTTAACAATCAAACAATCGTTCTTCTCTTTTCCCCCAACTTTAAAGAAGTTAAAGTTACCTTGCAACTATTTCGCCGTACCTTTAAAAGCCCCATTGGTTATGAGGCGAAATAGATTTGGCCGTTACCCGGTTACTCCCTCTACAGTGACCGGTTCTCATATTAATCTAATCTAATTTTTAATTCGCCTTATCTAAATGTAATCTAATTCTCATTTGGCATAATCCTCATTTGATCTAATTCTCACTTGGCCTAAACTTTATTTGTTACACATTCTTGAACGTGAATAATAAGAGAGAAAAGAACAAAAATATGTTCTGTCACTTTCTCTCTCATGATTCGCGTTCATGAGCGGGTGACTAATAAAATTTAGGCCAGGTAAGGATCAGGCCAAATGAGAATTAGATTACATTAAGATTAGGTGAATTGAGAATTAGATTAGATAAATATTAGAACAAGTTAAAATTAGGATATAGTAAAAATAGGCCAAATGAGAATTAGGTCATGTAAATATTAGAACCATATTAGAAACACAAGCAATCGTTGCTGCAATAGATCTGTTGTCAGCATTATATAAATGGTTAAAATTTGTTTTATCGATATAGTTAAACTAAAGTAGTTTGAAAAAGAATAAGGTCTGACTAGAGGCTAAGTAGTAGCAGAACTGGGCCAAGCCAGACCTTGCAGACTAGCGATGCTAGACGCTTTCTAGCTTGCTCTAGGCTTGACTTTAGACGTTGCAGAAGATTTCTCTACATGGGTACTCAGTAAGAGTGTTTGTTGGTTTAAAGTCTTGATATATGTTTGAAGAAATTTCAATTGATTAAATATTTTTCGAAATTTTTAATTTTTTTTACAAAAAAAATCATTTTTTGAGAATTAGCCTAGTGAAAATACTACCGATCAGGAAAATTTGCAAGTTCACAAGTTTGTCAATTTCATTGAATTCTAAACATATTGTATTTTAAATTTCAATGTTGTGAAAAAATAAAATTTCTAAAATAATCAAAAATATTTCATAAATGTTATTATTGTTATTAAATATAATAATATATATAAAATTGTAAAAAAAATCTTTCTGTAGTTACATTTCAAAATCTGTTATATAGACTTCCCGCAATGACGCCATTCATTTTTTAGGGTGAAAACAATAAAAAAAGTAATAAAATTTTTGTTTTATTTCATTTATTGGGTAGAATATGCAAAATTAAAAAAACTTTTAGAAAGTAGTTGTAGATTTTATTGAAATACATTTTTTATATCTTATGCATTTCATGCATTTGTCATGTCACCGTAACGTTACTAAACATTGCAGCTGCATTTTTGTAAGAAAGGCCCTTATTTGTTTTAACTTTTCTGTATAAAATCAATACTATAGTCGCGAGAGTAGTCTGATTGACTAAGTATTTCAATATTATTTAATGAATCGGAAAATCACGTAGATTTCTCATTAAATGGTATATACCCCTCTGAGCAGCCCTACAAGTGTATAGAAAATGGGAAATAAAATCATAATCCGACCCTCTGTAATTTTCGATAATCAAAATGTCTAATCTCACTTATATTAACATCGATTTCTCCTCGAATTCAAAAAATATAAAATTTGTAGGATTATTTTAGTGTCCTGTTTTATTGAGAGAAAATAACTTGTATCGGTTCGATCTTACATTCCAACATCCTTTCGATACCGAAACAGTACCGAATATCAGTATCGAGACGACATTGGTATGTCAAAATCCGACATCGGTCCGATACTGATCCGGTATCAGAACCCTCCTTGGGGAGGGTATACATAAGGGTGAAGGGTATAAATATTGTATACAAGTGTGAATTAAGAAAATATTAAAAATGTCCAAAGATCATGCGTTTACGCATGCACTGTATAAAGTATTAAAGAATTTTAACTGTTTGAAAGAGGGAGCGATTATTACCCACTTTTAATGTATCACTTAACCCATATAGGACCGAACAAACAGTTCGACTAGTCAAACTTCAACAAAGTTCAAATTTTTAAAGATCAAAAATTGATAAACAATTACAATAATTATGCCACTTACATTTGTAAGTGCGTCTGGAATTGTAGCTGTCCGATATGGGTTAAACAAATGATTGTACCATATTAAAAATATCAATAGTCCTTGATTTGGTAAAAAGAAAATTACCAACGATTTTAAAATATCTATCAGTGATAGTGAAAAAAATTTAGGAAAATTCCCTTATGACTTTTTATAGTGAGATGAAAATCGTTTAAAAGTGAATTTATTATGCTTTTGCAAGATAAAAGAGATGTTTCCATTAACGAAAACACTAAAATTTTTGTCCTATAATATTTTCTTAATTCACACTCGTATACAATACAAAATGATTATTATTTCGTTGTAAAAATTAATTTGACAAACAGACAAGTTGGCGAGAAAAATTATTATAAGTTCAATTGTTTTTTTCAGGGGCGAAGGAAAAAAAAAGTTTCAGAAAAGATTTTATGTTTGCTTAGATTTCTCAAAAAAATTCAAAATTTCACGTGGGTGGAGGTTTCAACCCCAAAACCCCACTATGTTTCTTGGGGGTGGGCATGTAAATGTGATTCTGGATCCGCGACAGAAACTGTAATACAATAATAAACTTCTTTTCGCTATTTTCATTTTAAAAAATGTACTTTTAATGGCAAAAATATTTAATGGGACCGTTCTTAAAAACGGCTCCACAGATTATATTGATTTTTGTGAGAAAAGTTTCTATTTTTCATATACTTTCACTGAAAAAAAAAAATTTTTACTAAGCAAAGACTTTTGGGTTTGAGTCTGGTTAAGGCACATCGTGCTTGATGAAAGACTTTGAAAAAATCATGAAGCTCTTTTTCGGAGAGTATAAAACGGTAAAAAAAACTTGAGCCAAATCGAAAATGTCAATGTTGACGATATGTTGGTTTGGCATAGAACGCCCCATATACACAATGACTTAAAAATCAAGGTCAAAATTTCAAAGGCCACTCTGAGCCTCTACTATTGAAGTCTATGATCTTAAGGAAGCCATTAAATTTGAAAAAAAAATTTCTTCATTTTTATTATTAATTAATATGAAAATGAGATATTTGAAAGATCTAAATGTTCAGGATTCTAGATTTACAAAAATTTCTATAAATAGTTAAAAATTAAATAGTTAATTTCTTTTAATTTTTATAAAAATGTTGAGATAAGTGAAATCCTCAGAACAAATTTTTTTATTCGTCACTTGGGGGATTTCGAGTTCGCTGATATATTTTTTAATTATTGTGGAAAAGGAAGGAGAATTTTACCTTGAAAGGTGATCCGTGCGGCACCAAATGTCAATGCCAAATATGTCATGTGCCGAGCGGCACAATGAACAAATTCTATTAGAATATATTTATATATTTTTAACAATTCAAGAAGGCCCAATTGATAAGTGTGCCGAGCGGCATCAAATATCAAAACCAGAAATACAATGTGCCGGGCGGCACTAAAGCAATTCTCGCTGAGTCTAATTAAACTTGTCAAACTTTTCAAGGATATTATTAACAATTAAAGAGTATCAGACAATTAAGCCTAACAAAACTAAATATCGTATCGTAGTTCATTAGTTTAAATATAGAGGTTATGTTTTCAGGTTTTAACAAATGTTATATTGAAATACAAGCGAATGTTAAGTTATTTTTATAGTTACCTCTTCTGCCTTCTTCTTCTTCTTTAGACTTCTTTAGTTTTACTATGTCTTTAATATAAATTTCGACCATTTATATACTGCTGACAGCAGGTAGATAACACAGTAAAATAATAAAAAGAACGCTATCAAGTTAAAATATTAATTTTTTGTGTTCATTTCATGTACACTTTTCTTCTGCATGCAGATATGGAGTATATAAAATAGATGCAGTATATTAAAATTTAATAACTAAGCTACATTAAAAGTCACGTTTTTAGATATTTTTTATTTCAACGATTTATATACTGGTGACTCACAAGTAGACAATATTGCAATATTTCATCTTGTTTCATCATTTGAAATTAAAATTTTATTATTTTTTATCAACGTACAAACAGTGAAAAGTCACGTTTTTAGATATTTTTATTTCGACAATTTATATACTCCTGACAATACTGTAAAAATGTATGCCTGGACCCTTCCCTGGACCATGCGTGACAGTTCTAAATATTTTGTGACAGTCCCTGCACAGATCAACTATAAGTAATGACTAATTTAGCAATATTCATCTTCTTTTATTATACTGCATTAATTAGAAACCTGACAAAAATCGCTCAAAGTTTTATTGAGATATTTCATCAGTGTCTTATTAATCTTCATTAAACTAGTTTTAAAAACATTACTTATAAATTTTTTATATTTAGTACACCTATTATATATATATATGAGGCATTCTTTATCAACAGAAGCCCCCCTCTCTCCAAAATTGTTTTAGATATAAAAAATCGGACAAGGGCTTAAAATTTTAATAAAAACAAATACTTTTAAATGCTGAGTGGCTTTTTTCAAAATTCAAAATGACAGATCCAATATGGCGGCTTATTAAAAAAAAATTTCATTGGTTTCACTTGAAAATTGTTACTCGAGGATTTTTGGGGTCGGGGATTACGATTCTAATGTCACGTCACCGTAACGTTGTTAAACATTGTTGCTGCATTTTTGTAACAAAGGCCCTTACTTGTTTAACTTTTCTGTATAAAATCAATACTTTAGTCGCGACAGTAGTCTGACTGACTAAGTATTTCAATATTATTTAATGAATCGGAAAATCAGATATGATAACGTAGATTTTCCATTAAATGTTTTATACCCCTTTAAGCAGCCCTACAAGTGTACAGGAAATGGGCAATAAACTCATAAAGCCGACCATCTGTAAGTTTCGATAATTAAATTGTACAATTCCACTTATATTAACATCGGTTTCTCTTAGAATTCCAAAAATATAAAATTTGTTGGATTATTTTAATATCCTGTTTTATTGAGAGAAAATACCTTGTGTTATCACAAACTTATTGAATGTAAAAGGGAGTCACCTTAATTCATAACATTTAGTTAACTTCTTACTTATTAAAAAGGGTGGAAACTGCAACCCTCATATGAAAATTTGTGCGCGCTCTTTGTAAAAATCTTGTATAAAAAGGTCCACATTTGCCTGGAGAGTTCAGTTCATATTTTGGTATCAGCACGTCTTCGTCTTATACGAAATCTAGTACAAGCATTGTTACTCTGATCGATTTCATACTCAAGTTCGACTTATAAGAATTTCAAGTCAATTATTTAAAAGTCTCTACATCAAGGAGGAGCCTTCCAAGTATACGACTAGTATCCTGCCATAATAATTGGAAACATCTTCTCATTTCCATACAAAGGATATTTGGGCTTTCATTACAGTGCATTGAACTCTGGACCTGTGGGAACCACCTAGGCCCGTCAACCCTCCTGAGCACTCATAAACGACATCTGGTACCAGCCGTTTTCCTGCCCATATTTAAGAACACATCAGTGGTCCTTTTTCATACATCTTACATTGAAATTTTTAAGGTAAGTAGTAATACTTTTTATATAAAACTTTCCTAACTCCTTATAAAATTTGTAGTAACCTTTACATTCCTTGTTGCAGTGGAATGCTAACTTCCCTATTTCAAGAATGGTTGCTTAACATACTCTCTTTCAAAGATCAATTTTATAACACTAAATATTTATCTAAATAAACTTGTAACCTTGTCATTAAAAATTAATATTCTCTTTCTTCTCTCTACCCTTAGCTCAGAGCCTTCTGCTCTGTAAATGAAACAGAAATTCACTGAATCACCGAGCGGCCATAAATAAAATATGATTTCGTTAGTTATTTCTCTATTTGAGACGTAACACTACCGTCAGTTTTTCAAAATTCAAAATGGCGGATACAATATGACGGACTTTGTTTTAAAACTTCATTGGATTTACTTGAAAATGTATACTCGGGGGTTTTTGAGGTCGCTGATTACGAATACGATGTCGATTATTCAAAATTCAAAATGGCGAATACAATATGTCGGCTAATTTAAAAATTATTTGTTGGATTCACTTTAAAATTATTACTCGGGGGTTTTCGGAGTCGCTGATCATAAATCTGGTGTTAGTTTTCAAAACTTTTAAATGGTGGATATAATATGAAAGGTGGTTTTTATTAAATTACTCTCATTCATCTAAAAAATGTTACTTGTGTCGTTGAACTTGAACCTATTACTTCTAGTTATCTAAAGCTAGCAGGAGTATTCAACAGCATTTCATAGATGCACCTATACACAAAGAAAAATTATCTTTCCATACTGACAGTTTTGGAATTGTTTTGACTAAAATTTGTGCATTAAGGATATGACACACTCAAGCAACGTTTGTGTAAGCACCGCCATGTTTGTTTTCATTTTCGTTTCAAACTGTCACTTTTTAAACTTCATTTTTTAACAATTTAACGCAATATTATGTATTTTTCGGGGAACAGCGAGATTCCTTGTACCCACATCTATCACCCTTTAAAATTTTAGACAAAAATCTTTTTTCATTTTAGAGTAAGATGTATACTACACAAAACACATTTTCCCATACTAGGTCACGTGGAAGGTTCACACATACCCTTAAGAAGGGTTCCGTGAAATAAGACTAAAATCGATATACATATTTCAGGAGTAAATTTTACTATTTCTGGAGTCAAAATTGCTAGAAATGCGAAGAAGAAGTTTAACTTTTAAAGTAGGGTGAAACCAGGCCTAAAATATCAATGTTGTCCCCTACTTTATCGATTTTAATAAAACTTAGTAAAAAGGTAAAGAAATGCATGTAAATAAAATTTCTAAAAGTAATTTTTGAAAATATTAAAAATTTTTGGATTTACGGAATTAAAATTTTTTTTTTAAATTATGAAATCGTTATATCTTCAAGAGCAATGGATGAATTTACGCACGTGTATCATACAACATTTTTTGCAACACCCACCTCTAAAGTTAAGTACCTATTATGAAGAATTCCAACTCTATATTAGAATAATTTTTATTGTATAGAATTAAAAAAAACAATCGAAGATCAGGAAAAATATCATTAAGCAGTAGTGTATAAACACAGAAAAAACCTAATCTCAAATTGAGTACAAAATTTATACTCAATTTGATACGCATAAAAAATGAGACAGGCAGATGGCGCCACGTTCTATGTCATTTAACATACACTCATTTTGAAATGCAACAAATATGAGTCCAAATTTTTTTGTAAATTTAAAAGTAAAGTTCTTTCTTTAAGTTTGTGGTTTTGTATGGTCTAAAACAATCCTTACATTATGTGATATAAATTTCGGTGCGTAAAGTAAATTTCAGTGCGTAAAGTGAATCACTTTACACACCGTTTTAAAAAGAGCTTTTTTACACACACTTTACGGTGTGTAAAATTTAACTTTAGAGGTTAGTGTTGTAAAAAAAAAATTTTTTATTGTTTAAACAAATTTTTTGTTTATAACTGTATTTTTTATTTTTTTCACTGTTGATATTTGGATTCCTTAAGATTTCATGAGTATTTTAAGACCAAGAAATTAATGGTATGTCTTAAACTTTCGGAGATATTGAATTTTTTGTCATTGCGTGCAAGACCAAAAAGCGAGTGGAAGCAATGACATAAGATGTTTCAATGTCGCTAGGAAGCATCATTCTTAACAGATTTTTGATTTTTTTTTAATTAAAGATGTTTTTAGGGTTATATAAAACGTAAAATTGACGCTAATTATTTAAACAGTATTGTTATAAATAAACAAATTTAATTAATTAAATGACATTAATGCCAAAAGATTAAACAGCCTTTCTACCGTTAAACTAAATATTGGATTCATAGCATAACCGGAAAAATACACGTATTTTTTCTTTTTGCAAAATAATTTTTATAAACAATTTAATAAAAAAAAATCGATTTTTAATAAACCAATACAGCCATTCGAAAGAACGTAGAAAAATAAGCAACTTTTCTCTTTATTCTTAACTGATTTTTAATTTTTTTTGCAAAAAGGTGTGGACGAATAAAAAAGTTGAAAAGAGAAAAGTTGCTTATTTTTCCTCGTTATATCAAATGGCATTATTCGTTTTTATAAATAGAATTTTTTTCTTAAATTGAGCTACTGGATCAAAGATTGTTTTTTTGAGAAAATCGACCAGTCTGTCAATTGAGAAAAATCTTTAAAAAATCGGACATGCAATTGCAGATGGACTTCGAATTTGGCGTGGAATGCATCATATACTGAATTACGAAAGTTATGAAATATAGTTTATTTCCTAATTTCTCTTAGGGATTTGAGAAGTGACATGTTTTTTTCAATTTCCATATTCCAACGTGATAATTTGATTTTAATAATATTGTAAAATGTTGATATTAAAAAAAAATAAATTTTACTGCTTTAAAACTTTGTTTTCAAAAACACATAATTTTGAAATTTAGAACTAGAAACATAAATAAGAAGTATAAAAAACCAACAATATTAAGAAAAATAAAATAATATTTTTAATGTAAAATGCACGCGATTGAGATATTTATTTTCCAATTCGCGTGCTTTATATAATTCTTATATTATATAAAATTTATCGCTATGTTAGTTGTAATCTTTCTTTTAATTTTGAATATAAGTGTATCATGATGAGGAAGCTAAATGGTCATGATTTAAACACCTTGTTTCCAAAGTTTTTTAATTTACAGTTTTATTAAAAAGTTGTTTTTAATAATTAATAAAATTATAAATTAATTGAATTCATTAAATTTTCAAAGATTTATTTGTACAATTTTAAAAGCAAATTATTTTAAGAGAAAATTTAATGTCAAATAATAATTAACGTTT